GTCAGAAGAAGCTTCAGAATCCTTGCCTCTGAGGGGCAGCCTGGTTTCACCCTCTCTCGGATGAACCTGTTTGTTCATGGTATATTCAATACTCTTCTCCAACACCACAGCTCAAAGGCATCAATTCTCCTTCTATCATCCCTAGTCGTTGTCCAGCTCTCTGATGCATAGCAAGCAATTGCAAAGACCATGGTATGGATCAGGTGCACTTTAGTCTCCAAACTGACATCGTTGCTCTTCAGTACTTTGGAGAGGTTTCTGACAGCAGACTTTCCCAATGCCTACTTTCTCCGATATCCAGGCTCAAGCACCACTCCTTCAGGAAGTCTTCCTGACACCTTCCATCTACCACACCAAGTGTTTAGGGGCTCCCTGTTCTGCATTCCATATTATCACACTTTAACATTATAAATACTATAAAATTGCTCTAAGCTGGGAGTGCTTGACAGAGTTCACTGTCTCAAGTGATGATGGCTAATACTAGTAGCAGGACTAGTAGTAGGATTAGCATTATCTTTTACATACTGGACTCTATTGTAGATTCTTCTTGTGACTTATTTAACTTACATTTCAAAACTTCTTAATGAGTTAGAACTATTATTGCTTCCATATTACAGCTGAGGAAGTTGAGCCTTAAAGATATTAATAAACTTTCCAATATCACATGGCAAGAACTTGTGGAATCAGATTTTAAAACCAGGTAGTCAGTACCCAGAGCTCACATATTTTAAGTATTTAATGCAATACCTGAAATATGGTCAGTTTTCCATTTCATATTATTTTTTATTTACTGGGTGAATGAGGATCCTTGGTGGTACACTGATTAAGCTTTTGACTGCTAGCCTAAAGGTCAGTGGGTTGAACTTACCTTAGTGGCTCTGGTAACCTAGTGGGTAAGGAGATGTGCTTCCAATCCAAAGCTAAGCTGTTTGAGTCCATCTGCAGGAGAAAGATGAGCAATCTCTTCCTGTGATTCACAAAATCGAAAACCCCTCTGGTAGGTCAGCTATGGTTCGATTTTGACTAAAGAACAATGAGTTTAGTTTGTATTTTTTATTTTGGGGTTATTTTTTCCTAGAAGAAGGAGGTCTCACTCAGTATGGTTTCCTAAATAATATAGCCTTGGAAACTCTTGGTCCCTATTGGTTGCTCAGATGGGGACTGACACCACAGCAATGGAGTCTATTGGGTGAAATAATATTAAAATGATGCTTGGATAAGCACTGCCACAGTAGTTGAGATTGGCTAAGTTGGGGCTAACCACGGGAGCTTAACCTTGAAAAGAGTCAGAGGGCTAATGCAGCTATGGTGGGCAGGTCTAGAGAGGTGGAGAAGCCAGAGAGGAAGGCTTCCAGTGGCCATGGGGACAGCGATTTGCTTCATGGGTTCCTAAAGACAACCTGGAGCAGGTGGGCAATGTTGAGAGACTCTTGGAAACAGTAAGGTGATTATTGTGAGTGAAATCCCTGGAGCTGTGTACCAGGTAACTCTGACCAGTGTCCTTTAGTGAGGCCAGGCTGTGTTATCCTTAACAGACTGGGTGTGCCCATCCCCACTGACCCACCCAGAACAATTTATCCTCCATGTGAGGCAACAAGCCCAGACCAAGCCACATGGTGGGCAGGGCCAGGCATTCACATCACCTGGTAGGGATAGCACCAGCAGGGGCAGGAGACCAAGAAGCAGACTCCCTAAATGAGGCTTTGGGGCAGACTCCCTAAATGAGGCTTTGGGGCCTCAGGGGTCTCTGAGGAGGCTTGTCTGAGGGAACCACTGGGTAGGAGAGAGGAAGTGGAAGAATCTCATGGAGAATGAGCTTAGAAGCCCATTCAAAGAGAGGAAAAATACTTGGGCTTCTTTGCCTGCACCCTGGGGGCTCAATTAAACCTGGGTTCTAGCCTAATGAGCTGACTGGTAGGCTCACCCTTTAATTTGATTCCTGCAAATCATTAGTCAGAGGGTGGGATTGGGGAGTGGTGCTGAGGGGAGGGAGGCAGCTCTGAGGAAAGCATCTTGTCCCCTGATGAAGGTGGGTGAGGGTGGCAGAGGAGAAACAGGGGGCTTGAAAGGAGTTGATAAGCAAATGCAGGAGGATTTGTTCAGGGTTGTGACCCCCCGGGCAGGCACCAAGTAGATCTCAGACATGAGTGGGGAAGTGTGTGGACTTCTCTGCCTCTCCAACCCCAACAGAGCATTCTAGCTCTGGCATGGAGGGATTGGGAGCCTTCAGACATTTCTAAGGCTGAGAGAGATGGGTTCCAATCTGATCCTGCCAGTATTGCAGTATTCCCAGTGGGCTTTTGGGCAAGTTTCTGTTTCCTTAGCTGTAGGGTAAGAGTCTGTGACTCCACTCCTAACTTCTCAGGTCTGAGGAGATTCACCACAGCTTATTGCAAAGGGAAGTCATCAAGACATATCCAAATGGGTTACTCTGGCCTCTCCTCCCCCCAGAAATAGAGCAGGCTACTGAGGAAAGTGATTAAACTAATCAGACTACTGTGCTCCTAAATGTACCTCACACTTTGCAAAGCCATTTAGGATCTATTTCCACACCTGAACCTCACAGCCACTCTATGAGGAAAGGTAGGGTTGCCACCACTGTGTCATTAGCACTTTACACCTGGAAGGAGTCAGGACTCAATCGCAGAACTCTTGGCTTTATTTTACTCAAGGATGCAAGAGAACCACCGAGCCCTAAACTACCAGCTCAAATGAGGGTGGCCTCTGTGAGCACACAGGTGGTTGTGAGGAGATGCGAAGCCAGCAGACGTGGGTGTTGGTGAGTGCTGCTGCCTTGTTCCACAGCCCGCTTGCTTGTATTGCTAAACCCTTAGGCTGGAGTTTTTCTGTGAGGAGTCCTGCCTGCACTTGTCTGCCTCACTGGGTGGCTGTGAGACATGAGGAGGGTCAGGGTAATGGGGGTGGCAGGATATGAATCCCTGTGTTCTGTCCTCTGAGGGTGACTGTAGGATTAGTTCCGTCATCAGTCAGATCGGGAAATGAGACTGCGACAGGCTCACTAGAGTGGAAAAAAGTAGAATATCAGTCTAGAATATGCTTTTTCACCAATTTTGAGGTAGGAGAAAAAGAAATCCCTTTAAAAGCTAACTAAGTAGACAGAGATGGCTAAGAACTAGAATTCCCTTAGGGAACCCCAGGAAGTCACGCCCAACCTCTGCAGTGACACAGCCGGGTGCTGTGTGCAACCAGAAGGAAGGACAGTGGCTTGGGACAGTGACATTGGCAGAGGGCAGAAGAACAAGTTTCCAGATTTCTGCAAGAGCCCGCAGAGGTGGCCTACTGCTGCAGTAAGGAGCTACCTTGAAGACAGCAGTGATGAGGCCATGATGGAGCCTAAACGGCACCTAATGAGGCAGATACATCAGCACCAGCTCCAGGGTGGAGCATTTGGGGTGCCAGCTCTGCACTTCCTGCCCAATGCAAGGTGCTATGACCTAGAGAAGGGGGAGGAGGAAAACCTGGGGGAAAAGATTAAAAACAATCACAACAAACAACAGAAATAAAGACACAAAAGCCAGGGAGGAGAAAGAGATAGAAGAAAAGCAAAGGGACCTGCACAGCCACAGAGCCTGTGAGGAGAGGGTGAGGCCCAGAGCCCACACCAGGAACCAACAAGAGGCCCTCTCTTCTGCTTGCCTACACGTTTCTAAATCTCCTATGAATATCTGTTCCAAGTTCATAGTGATCTTTCAAAAAAAACATGAAAAGAGAAAGTAAGATCAGAATGCTACATGACAAAAGGTTAGTGGAGATTTTCCTGCACAACAGGGAAGCTACAAGTAATTTCTCTTCTGTTTCTTTTTACTGTTTTGTCTTTTCCAAGTTACCGAGAATAAGCATGAGATGCTTTTGAGATCAGAAGGGGGGGGATAACAAAGGAGTGGCTCCCCCTCCCCTTCTCTGTCCTTAAGATAAAAACAAACAAAACAACCATAAAATATAGGTGGCTGAAGAGAGTGGGAATGAACTTGAGAGAATGGTGTGGGGACAGGGAATAGGCAAGGTGGTAGGTAAGAAAGGTGGAGAGCCACCTGATGTGGAGTACTTCCAATTAAGTGCTGGAAGCTGCAGTTCATGTGTATTGAATGAATGGACATTGAGAGGGGGCTACCCGGCCATTTCAGATACTCCCTGCCCTGGCAGTCAACAGAGAAGTCCTCCTGAGCAATTGACACCCACTCGCTACGTCAACTAGTCACTCTTCTAACCCATCCTGGCCACTGTCACCAGGCCTCCTTCTAGTCTCTGTGCCACTAAGATAATATAGAGGATACCCTTGAGAAGCTAAATATCAGAGATCCTGAAGTCATGGTGGACATGGAGACCCTGAGTGTCACAGTCAGCACATTTGATTGCTAACTGAAAAGGTGGGGTTTGAGTCCACTAAGAACTTGGAAGAAAGGCCTGGAGATCGATTTTGGAAAAATTGTTATTGTTGATTGCCTTTGAGTCGAGCATGACTGATAGCAACCCTATGAACAAAAGGCCTGAAGTCCCTCTACAACTATCAACATTTATCAAAGTCCATAGAGTTTCTGGAAGCATGTTGTCTAGGAAGTGGATGCTACTTCTGGCTGTTGAAAACCCCATGGAACACAGTTCTGCTCTGATAAACTTGGGCCACCATAGTTTGGAATTAACTCTGTGGCAACTGTTGTTCATTTTTCATCTTCCCATTTTATTGTGGTGGGATTATTTTGTAGTTGGAGTCTTTAAGGGAGGAGAGAGCAGACAGGAAGAGCAGGGAGGAGCTCGACACACAGCAGGCAGCCAGGCCAAGAGGAACAACCAGCAGTAATAAGTGGTTTGCTGGCTCAGGCATGAGCAAAATGATAAATAAAGGCGCCTTTATTGTCTTCTCCCAAGGGGCACTGTGGTTCTGGCAAAGCTTTGTCAGGCAGGCTGGAGTGGAACAGAGGTGGAGCGAAGATAGCAAATTCAGAAGAAGAAAGCAGAGAAGGGCAGGGATCAGGAAGACATCAGGAAGGCCTGGCTGCAGCGACGTAGATGTCCTTGTAGCCTTTGATCTCCTTGATCTCGCGGCTGCTGATGAGGACTTGTAGTTGGCGGGATCCAGCTTTGATGGGGTAGAGGTCGAGTTGAATTTTGATGGTGTGTCCAGCCACCAGAGTACCAAGGCTGAAAAGTCCAAAAGGGCCTGCTTAAATGGGTGATCTGATTTTCAGACCATTCTCCTCTGGGGAGATACTTCCTGCCCACTGGCACCAACCTTCCCTGAAGAAAGCAGGGAATGAGGGTGCAAAGAGGTGATGATGACCTGAGAGACTGAAGATGGTCCTATGATCTGGGAGTAACCCCTCCCCTCATCAGAGAGCAGAGTAAGAGAGGTGGACAGTGAACTTACTCTTTGGATATCTGCCCATCAATGAGGCCACTTCCCTCCAACATCATTGTGCAGTCACTCAGAGGCTCCATTTGAGTGTTGGTGAGGGTGATGTAGACTCTCAATGCCTTACCCACCTCAGCTCTTTCAGACACCTGTGAGGAGAGAAGACAGAGACATCTTTTTTTTATTTTATTTTATTTTTTTAATTATTTTTTAAAATTTTTTATTTTATTATTTTGTGTGTGTGTGTGTGTGCCGTCAAATCAGATCTGACTGGTACAGGAGGAGATTGTTCCTCCTTCTCCAGCACAGCATCTGGTGGATTTGAACCATGCACCTCTGGGATTGCAGTACACCTTCTTGCCACTAGGCCACCAGAGCTTGCCAGACAGAGACATCTTGAGCAACTGGCCTCATTGCTACAACCTTGTTCAATAACCTCTCCACTCTCCCGCTGGCGACCATCAGGAACCGCTACTTACAAGCTGTGAGCACTCAAGGTTAACATATGTCCTGGCCTGTGACAGGGTTGCACAGTTTGATGAGTGGAGAGAGGGGGTGAAGGAAATGGAAAGAATGTGGCAGGACCTGAAAAGATTCAGTGATGATGGGCAAGGTCCAACGGTGATTGATTTTATAAAACAAAATGCATGGAAATGATTGTAGGAAACACGATATGAGTGAAGAATAGTGCGAAACACAATGTATATGGACTTTGTGAGCAAATCAATATAAATTTTTAAAAATCATAATACTTCAGGAAACCACCACCAGTTGGGAATTAGAAGTTGAAACTTAATATTTTTTTTGCACCACCTGGCTGAAGATGGAAACTAGATTTCAACTTGAGTAGCCAGCTCCAGTTGGCTATGGTGATTAATAGTAATATTACGTTAAAGCGGGTCCTCAGGACAAATCCGGAGTCAGAGAGACTCATGATTGATTAGTACTGTCTGTCACAGGCATGGAATAAGAAGATGGTGTCATTTGTGCCATCATTTATATCATTCCACCCTTTCATTCTACAAATGAACAAACATGTGAAGGTAACATAACATGTTACTAGCAAAGTCAAGATCTGATCCAGAGGCCCTAGTCAGAAACGCCCTGCCTAGGATCTTTCCCTCACACTACTTTGTCTTCCAATACATCTGTAGAACACAGACTTCTTCCAGGTACTTTCAGTGCATTACATGTAAGGACAATGTCATGGGGCAGTTCTGCTAGTCTCCCAAGATCCCTGTCATTGGGAGGCAAAGATTCTGTCCTACTTCTTTCTAGACACCAGGACCTAGCACAGTGTCAGCCAGGTGCTGGATATTAGGTCAACCTGCGTTGAACTGAACTGAAATCCTACTGCCTAGGTGACAGTGGAGACATTCCCTGCCTTAGCTAGAGAATCAGGGAGAAGGAAGAAAACATTCTGACTGGGATTTGAGTGAAAGAAACAAGTCCACTGTATCCTAATGAGGGTATCAAAACAGTAAAGTTAAGTTAGAATCTAGCATAGTCAGGCAGGTCATTTCTAGGGCCCTTAGCAGTAAGAACTAATTAATAGCCTCCTTGACATCTGATCTCTCTGCATCACGACCCTGTTGTAACCAGGGCTCTGTAATAATGGGCAGGGCCGTTGCTTCGGCACGAGGAGTGTGTCTGTACTTGTGATCCTACCCACTGTTGGCTGTACTGTGGAGGTTGCCTGGCACCCTCCGGCTCCACAGCCTTACAGCACATCACGTGAAAACTGCCAGGTGGACTGGGTGATTTATAATTTGGAAGTGAAGTGTTCTACTAATAGACCCACCAAGTAAATAGTGCCAGGGTTGGATTAGGCAACGGACAAGGACTTCCAGAGTAGGAGTGGCAGGTACGGAAAGATGCTTCAGGGAGGGAAAATTCTGGCAAAAAGAGATGAGGAAAAATATCTGCCCCTCCCCATTTACCCTGACTCTACCCACGATTCCTTTCTCATCTAATGATCTCACCAGCTAGCTACTCAGGCATCTGAACTAGAGACTGGTCTCATCATTAATTTATCTCCCTCTTTTTTGTAAACCTCATCTTATTAGCAGCCACTTTTTTAATTTGATCCTGTGGCATCTCTCAAATCTGTCTTCTCTACTTCATCTCCCAGGCATTGACAACCATTGTGTCTCTTTGCATAACTTATCTGTTTCCTTGCTTTAAATAGCTCCATTTCCCTTTCTATGCTTCTAAGGAGCATTCCGGCAAGATTTCATCTCTGCTGAGACGCCTTCATACCCACCTTCACTTTAAATATACAGAGCCTACAAGAAACCACTCTATATTGTGTTTTAAGAACTGGCTTTGCCCAAAGGAAGTCTATATCTGTCACCAGCTGGGCTCTCGTAACCCTGGCCGGAGCTCAGCAAATGTTGGGTTAGTTAGACAAGCCCTGGGCCCCATCTCTGTTGAGCAGACTCACCTCGATAGATAAGTGGGGAGGCTCCAGAGAGATATCTTTCAGAACAAGCATGGACTTCCCCGTCTCTTCAACTTTGGCAATGCCAGACACCCGGATCAACTTTTCATCTGTCAGCCTGTTTCTGTAATTGTTGTAGGGTAGCAAAAGAGGCCACTGTACCTCTAAACGGAGAAAAAAAAATCTTGAGTCTAGGGAATGACTCTTTCAGCTAGAGAAAAAGAGCATGTATGTGTGTGTTTATGAAAGAGAGAGAGGAGAAAATTGAATTTTCATATAAAAGCCAGCAGAAAGTAAAGCCAGAAAATTCCTCAGAAGGAAAGAAGATGAAATTTTGTCTCCTGTACGTTGGACATGTTATCAGGAGGGATCAGTTCCCGGAGAGGGACGTGATGCTTAGGAAAGCAGAATGACAGCGAATGGGAGGAAGACTGTCAACAAGATGGATTGACCCAATGGCTGCAACAATGGGCTCAGACAGCAATGGTTGTGAGGATGGTACAGGAGCCTGGGCTCAGGGGAACTACCAGGCAGTCTACTCAAGCAGCACCCACTGACAGAAGGTGCATGTATGAGTCCACATCTGTGTGAGAATGTGTTTCTGCGGGTGCTTGTTTGTGTGTGAGAACGAGCTCAAGTTTACCCAGCACAGATTCCCAGATGTCACTGCTATGTTTAATCTGGTGGGATGACGTCAGAAACAAAGCATCTTGTATTCAGTCTCCCACCAATAGCAGCTTCACTTTGTGTGTGTGTGTGTGCGTGTGTGTGTGTGTGTGTAGATCACAGTGTCTCTATATGACCATGTTGGACCAGCTCAGCTTTATTCTTGCCCCTAAAATTCCTCTCCTTGTAGTGCTGTTCCAAGTCTCTCTCATACTCACCCTGCCCGAAGTCCAGGTTCAAGTACACCACTTGCCTCCAGAGGGGCTCCCGTGCCTGCCCCCCGTGCAGCAGAGCCTGTGCACAGAACCGCAGCACCAGCTGGATGGGACCCCGGGGGTGGACTCTGTCTGGCACCCTCCAAGCATGCAGTGTGAACAGCAGGTCCTGGCCCCACTTAGGTGTCCTAGCCAGGTGGAGCTGCAGCTGTGCTGGCTGATCCCTCATGCCCCCAGACCCTAGCAGATCCAGGAAAGGTGAAGAGGCCCTTCTTTGGTCCAGCATGCTCCGAGAAGCTTTCAGGAATACATTCCGCTCTTCACGGGATCCTGGGGGAGAAGAAGGACCAGAGAGGCATCACTCAGGAGGGGTCAATAGGATCATTGTCCTACAAGTAACAAGCCACCCAGTAACTCCCAATTTCCTTCCCAAAGCCCTGATCACATGGAGAAAGAGGCCATACAAGATCATGACTGAAAATATGGCCTTGGCTGTCATTCAATTCAGAGTTCAAATTCTTGCTGCATCACAATTCCTTAGTCTCTTGGCACTCAGTTCTGTCTCTATAGCACAGGAAACAAACCTGCTTGCCTCACAAAGTTGCCAAAAAGTTTGGCTTAAATATACACTGCTGAACATAAAACACTCAGCACAGTACTGTCTGCAACATCATCACCAGCATCACTATCATTCTTTTCCAAGCCAAAGGCTTCTCTCCCTATCAATGGCATCACTTCTAAAATACGTGCTCGAGCCTTTTAAATAGAACTTTACCTCTTGCTACCTAACATGTAGAGTTTATCTACTCCAAGCTGTAAACTTCTCTGGAGGCACTGTCCCAAGGGTTTTCCATATACTAACTTGTTTAGCTCTCACAGTCCTCTGAGGGAGATGCTACTCCTGTTACTCCATTTTACAGATGAGAAAGCAGAGGTTCTGAGAAAAAATTTGTCCCGTTTTACAGAGCTTTGATTAGTTAGAACTCAAACAGCCTAACTCCATCCTGGCCCTCTCCACTGGGTCAACAGTCCTTTTCATCTTTGAATGTCTACCTTCCTCTTCCTGCCACCTCTTCGGGCTTTGGATACAGGGAGACCATGGTGTGACTCTAGGATGTGATTGTTAGATAAAATACAGAATCACTAGTTAAATTTACACCTCAGATAAGCAATGAACAATTTTTAATACAAGGACAAGGCATACATTACTGGGGAGATACTGTACTGAAAAGTGGCACCTAGTTTAAAAATTGAGTTTCATATGAACTCTTAATACTGTTTAATAGAAGTATTGTTGTTGTTGTTGAGTTGAAACCAACTCACAGATGATCCTCCAATAGGTGTTAAGAGGCCGTAAATTGCACAGGAGGAGACTGCCAAATCCTTCTCCGATGGAGTAGCTGGTGCTTTCAAACCATGTGCCTTTGGGACTGTAGTGTAGTGTCTTATCAGTAGGCCACCAGAGTTTCTTTAAATATAAGTAAGCCCATGTCATAGTTTTGGACATACTTATACTAAAAATTTATTAATTTGTCTGAAAATTAAATCTAATTAAGCATCTTAAATTTGTGATTTGCTAAACTCTTGGAAATTTTACGTGACTAGAGAGAGCCATTAGGTGGTGATGATTTTCAATCGAAGTGCAAAGAAGGTGTCGCTCCCAAGATCCCCAGGGCCCCAGGTACCTTCCGGATACTTGTAGGAGCTGGTGATGTTCTGGCGCTGGTCTGACCCCACCATCTTGGTGCTGATTTCCCTCCCGATTGAACTTGTGTTGTGAGCTAGGATTTCCTGGGCCTGGCCATTTCCAAAGAGCCAAATGACTTCATCAGCGTTCACCTCAGCATACACAAATGGGGTGTCATAGGCAAAGTGGATCTCTCCTTCTCTGATGGCCTTCACAGAGGCAGGGCCACAGCAGAACATCCCTGCGGAGAGAACAGGAAGTGTGGAACATGGCTACTTACTGGGAAGGACAGCTGGTCATGTGAATGGGCAGTAGAGAGGTAGGGAGTGAGTGACAGTGGGGAGGAGATTCCTGCTTTCATGGCCAATCACTCTTCGCAACCACAGAGCCCAGGGCCTTCCAAGTCCTCACTCACCACTGCTAGTTTGCTGGGGAGTGGGGTCCAGAACTTGCCACCCATTGTAACCTGGAGGGAGGTCTTTCCGGATCATCCAGCACTCATTCCAGACATGGAAATTCCTGCAGAAGGGAGTGCAGAGACACGTTTCCTAAGGATTTTCAAACAAATCTACTGTGTGCTTTATACTGCTACTTCTTTTACCTTATTTAGAAATCATTTCAAGCCTATAGTAATAGTTCAAAGGACAGCCAGCTACTCAACTCACCATTTGCTAACACTGTCCCATTTTCTTTTTTTTATTGCTTTCTTTTGCTGTAGATACAGATGCTCTTGCATTCCATCACATCAGAACCTACCGTAGCTGATCCTCCAGTGCATTTTCAGAGACAGTAAATCACACGGAAGGAGATTGTCTATCTTTCTCCCATAGAACAGCTGGTGGATTTGAATTGTTTACCTTTGCATTGACAACACAACCTCCTACCCATGAGACCAACAGAGCTCCCTATAGATACTGATAAGGATTTTTTTTCTGAGTTATATGAGGGTAATTGAAATCATCATGGCCCTTTATTAACAAATACATCCATATGCGTTTCCTAAAACTAGTGAGTTTCTCTTATATAATCTGTACCCATTTATTCACTTCAGTAAATTTAATATTGCTAGAATACTTGATCTAATTTCCTATATGTAAATTAGTAGAGGGTCAATGAGAGAGAATAAGAACCCTGGACAAGATGGGTTAGCCTGGTGACAGCAGTGGGCTCAAGCATATCATAGATTGTGAGGATGATACAGGATAGGCCAAGGTCCTCATCTGTGATGTATAGGGTTGCTCTGAGTCATACTTGACTCAATGACCCCTAAAAAGAACACTCTCAATTTTGTCAATGAAACGAATAATGTCCTTTCTAGCAGTTGGTTCCCATATAACCAGTTATTTGTAGTTCAGTTGTGGACAACAAAGCCAATTTGGAACAGGTCCTGATTTTTAAAATGTAGATGAGTCATTCAGTGATCAGAACAGGAAAAATTATGGCTTGATGCTCCACTAGAAACTTAATCCTTTTCGTAGAAAATAAGAGTAGCATGTACATTGCTTAAGGAAACAAATATCTTGATTGGTGGTGTGGGAACCAGTGGTACCCTGCTTAAAGATGGCGTCCACCGCAGTGCTTTAAATGTGTAGCACTCTCCACAATTCTCCAGTAATCTAGTCTCCCACATCAAGCTCCTTCACTATACCTCTTCCAAGTTTACCATTCTAGAGTTTCAACCTGGATTTTTTTTTCTTGTTCCAGTTATTGTGCTGCTTCATCCAAATTTTTAAAATTCAATATGTTCTGATTTTGTTTCATCTATCGAGTGAACTATTGAAATCTGTTTGAACCCCTGTATCTAATGCAAAGGGCTTACCTAGAAAATTTATGGGAAAGGAAACACAGAAAACTAGACCTGAGATAGGAAAGCGAACAAAAAAGAAAGTAGGGCAAGAGAAATGAGATAAAAAAATCAAGAGGCACACATACACGCATGCTCACAGAGTGTGGAGCAGGGAGAATAGTCAAGAGAGACAGGAAAGGATTCACAGAGGTATCAAGTCCAGGCTCTGTTCCTGGCAGATAAAACAGAAAATGGCACAAACAGAAAAACAGACTCAGAGCAAGATAGGTAAGATAAATAGAGATATTAACTTCAGTGTTGAGAAGACACATAGTGTATTTACTTAGTCACTAGCTTCAGAGTGTTTCCTTTACTCTTCCATCTTTGAAATGAGTTGATTTATTGACCTAATTCACCTGAGCAGGTCCCTTATTTGGCAAATTATTCTCTGAGCAATAGAACATTGTCCAGAGTAATAAGCCCTTAAAGACTAGCGAGGACTAAGTCATAGTAAAGACTAGAGAGAACTAAGTCATAGTTTCCTGTGGACCCAGCTCGAGATAGAACCCCTTACCATACTTTGTCTCGTCCCTGAGTCGGCAACATCTTTGCATCTGAGTCGTAGTAAGTGTCTATGGTCAGGTTCCCATCCATATTGTGTGCAGATCGGAAATTCGAAACGACACGGGTCGGAACACCTAAGCATCTCATTACTAAACAGGTAGAAGGGGATGGAAAATCACTGGGTTTATTTTAAGCAGGTCTGTTTCTTGTTAAAATTTTCTAGCTCTCAAATTGGAGAGAAAGAAGGCTTAGATTTTCGAAAAGCCACACCTGTGACTCTTCTATCCCCAGAGCACCAAACCCAAACAGAATCCTTTATCTCCACCTCACAAGGAGAAAGGGGTAACCGGAAAACCCCACCACAGTCAGCTGGGCTGGTTCTAACTCACAGCGACCCTCCATTGGGTTTTCAAGGCTGCACATTTTTATAGAAGATACTGTCCATCTTTTTCCCTCGGACCAAAAAGTGAAATCAAATCACTGACCTGTTATCAGCATTGCATGTAATATACTCTGCCACTAGAACGCTTTTAAGTGATTTAAAACAATATTATGTCACTACAACTAATCATTTAGAATTTTTCAAATTAAAAGCAGAGAACCTAAAACATTTTATAAATTAAAATGGAAAGCAAAAACTTTAGGCCATCTTAAAGCTAGTTTCAGGAAAGAAATGATGTGACTTGGTTGTTGGTGTTGTATGCTGTCAAGTCAGAACTGACCCGTAGCTGACCCTCCAGTGGGTTTTCAGAGGCAGTTAATCACATGAGAGGAGACTGCACATCCTTCTCCCACTGTGTGGCTGTGGTTTAACTTTTCTGGCCTCAATCTCCTCATTTGTAACAAAATGAAGAATTGGGCAAAATTACTTTAATGAGTCTGCAATTATACGTCAAAATAAGAATTTAAAGGAGGCAGTAAAGAAATTTGAAAATTAAAAGAAGGACAAGATCTATCTTTAGAAAGGTAGAGTTGTGGAACTTTACAGGAGCAACAGGGCAGAGCCAAAACCACTGCCCATCTTTGCTAGGGCAGCAGCTCCCTCTTGTGGTCTTTTAGTAATGTTGTTGTTAAGTGCTGTTAACAGTGGACACTGACCCTATGACAGTGAAGCTGAACCTTGCCCTATCCTGTGCCCTCATCATCATCTCTGACGCACTTGAGCCCGCCATAACCGTCACTCTGTCAGTCCACCTCATTGAGGGGTTTCCCCTCCTTTGCTGAACCTCCACCTTTTCAACCATGTCTCTTTCTAAAGACTGGCCCTTCTTGGCAATATACCCAAAGTATGTGAGTTGAAGTTTCACCATTCTTGCCTCTAAGGAGCACAATGGTTTTATTTTCTTCAAGACGAGCTCTGGTGCCTTAGGCCATAGGGAGTTGCACAGCAAACCCAAAGGTGGCGCCTCTCTGGTGGTTCAAATTCACCAGTGGCTCTGAGGAAGGCAAACAGGCAATTTCATACCCTTCAGTTTATAGCCTCTGAAAACCCACTGGAGGTTCAGGTTTTCTAATTCGAGGGCAAGAAAGGTCTTTTTTTAAAAAAAAAATCTAATAAATACTATATTTAAGAAACTTACAGCTAGATTTATCATGTATCATTCTAACATTAAAATTGGTCATAAGCATTACTAAGGATTGTGTATGATTGTGTATGGTCTGTTATGGAAGAAGGTCCATGATGCCATGAGTTACTGCACTAAGTAATATCAACATGTGCCATCATTGCCCATTCGGTCTTTAAGGCTGGGAATTGACTTGATGTCAATGAGTAAGAGAAATTAGCAAAGAAGCAAATTTCCAAATGTGATTCCTCTGAATCCCTCAGGTAAGCATTTTGAGGGCTGTAAGTTCTGTCTATAGGTGTTGTTGGCTCCGGTTCACAGCAACTCTGTGTACAGCAGGAGACTACACTGCTCAATCTTGCACCATCCCTCAGTCTCTGTGGATTAAGTAGATTGTTGTGGACACTGTCAGTCCATCCCATTGAAGGCCTTCCTCTTTTTCATTGACTCTACTAAACACGATTCTTTCTCCAGGCGAGGACTAGCCACTCCTGATAACCTGCTCAAAGTATGTGATCCAAAGTCTCACGACTTCCATTTCTAATAAATATTCTGACTGTACTTCTCCCATGACAGATTTGTTTCATTTTTTGGTAGTCCATAAACTCAATATTCTTTGCCAACACCTCAATTCAAAGGCATAAATTATCCAGATTTTCTTGTTGTTTTTCACATACATATAAAGTGATTGAAAGCACCACGAGTTTGGCCAGGCAAATCTTAGTCTCCAAGTGATGTTTTTATTCGTTAGTACTTTAAAGAAGTCCTTGACATCAGATTTGAAATAAACTATTTGATTACTTGACTTCTGCTTCCACTGGCATTGATTGTGTATGCTAGTAAAATTAAATCCCTGATAATTCCAATCTTTTCTCCATTTATTATGATGGTTTTTTATCCAGTTGTAAGAAATGTCATTTCTTTTATGTTGAGGAGCTATCTATACAGAAGGTTATAACCTTTCAATTGCACCAATTAGTGCTTCAGGTTTTCCTCCAATCTGATACTCCGTTCTTTTTCATGTAGTCCAGCTTTTTAGATTATTTGCTCAACATACAGATTACATCAATACAATTCAATGTAATGTACACAACACTGCTACACAGTTTTTCTGATTTTAAATTATTCAGTATTCCCTTTCTCTTTGGTCTATGTACCTATAGGTTCTACACTAATAATTAATTACTGAGTTCAACATTTCTGCTCTTTGAAATGTTATCCATAATGTATTATGACTCAATGATTGAATGTCTTTGCATGTTCAATAAAAATAAGGAGACAGCTTGCTGTATTCTCTGCTTCCAGCAAAGGTCTGTCTGATGTCAGCAATATTCCTCATTCCATGGATGGCTTCTTCTGAATCTGGCTTGAATTTTGGCAGTTTCCTGTCACTCCACCGCTCTAACCATTTTAAAAAACTTATTTTCAGCAGCATTTTATTTGTGTCAAAGTTTAACTTTATAGTTCTATAATTTCCATATTATGTTATGTCACTTTTCTTTGTAATGGATCCCTCCCAGGGGTTGGCCACGTAACTGTCTTCCAACTGTTTTAGTATAGACAAGGGAGTACATGTAGCACTGTACTCATTTTTTAAAAAAACATTTCATTTGGTTTTTTGTCAATTCCTGGACACTTGTTTTTCATCAATGCCTTAAGTGGAGCTTGATCTGCTTCCTTCAGTTCAGGCATGGTCAGACTCTCCAAAATTGTCCCAGCACCAGGCTCATGCAGACCTGAGAAGCCTCTACTGCTTTGGAAATATAGGCTCCTCCCTCCAATTGACCATTTGGACCACTTTGATTTTAACTGTTCCACTAATAAAGTGGTGATTCAGTGATAAAAATCTCACCTTCCATGAGGAAGGATAGGATGAGATTTCCAGCCATTGTACCCCAAGGGTAGCCACCACCTTCTGTCATTAGAAACTTACATGAAGCTATTATGCTGAACAGGTTACAGCAGAGCTTACAGACTAAGGCAGACTAGGAAGAAAGGTCTTGTCACCTACTTCCAAAAATGATCCAGTGGAAAAAACCCTGTGGATCAGCATTGCCTAATCCATAACTGATAATGAGGATGGTGCAAGAACAGAGGGTTTCATTTCACAGTGCCTGGTTCTCTCCAACTTGAGGCCCACTACCAGCAACTGCTCCATCAAGAACTTTGCCAGAGTATTTGCAAGAGGTAGAGCCCCCAGCCCACTATGTAAATATGTAGCATTCCTCATGAAGGTACAGAGCAGGCAGTGCTTTAGAGCTGCCTTGCCCAGCTCTTTATGGCTGTGGGATCTTGAACAAGCTACTGGTCCTTTCTGGGCCTCTGTTTACTCACCTCTGACTTTCCAAGGTGATCATGAGGGTGGAATGAGTGACGAGTCATGTGGAGTGCTTCCCATCTCCCCTTCACTCACCCGTGCACATCACAGCTGCAAAGACCCAGCATTGTCCGTACTTCACAGGCTGCCCACCTTGGGCCGACCACTGGCGCAGTATGGTCACACTGCCATTCCACTCCAGAGGGCTGACCCCCCTCGTGTAGTCTTCCCCCCAGTTTCCTTGTAGTACCCCATTGTCATCGTTGCTGTTGATCTGTAAAACAGATGGGTGAGAGTCCACCATGCCTAGAGAAGCCCAAGCACATCCCCAGGCAGGGAGAGGGTTAGTCGGGGGGGGGCCTTCCCTCCTTACCATGGCACTCACCACCCTGCAGACATACACCACGTCGTTCCGCTGGGAGTAGTCTTTGGATGGGTTGTTTAAGTAGTACAAGCTCTTGTTCAGGATCTCAAAGCAGATATCTATGATGTCCTCCTCAAACTTTTAGGAAATTTTAAGGTGTAGTGTGGGGAAAAAGAATAAAGAGGGATAGAGTTTAGAAACTCCAAATCAGGCTCTGCCACGCAGCCGCTACGTCGGGGTGTGTGTAGAGTCCCTGCTCGAGAGCTTGTAATACAATCCCTCATGTTCTTGCATAGATTTTGGCTCCCTGGTGTCCTTTGGGGGACTCGCGATTGTGGCACAATAACTTCATATTAAAAAATCAACTCAAGGTGGATCAAAGACCTGTGAGTTAAGCCCAAAACCATTAAGTTAATAAGAGACAGACTGGGCTCAAGCTTAGAAGCTCCAGTGTACAGTAAAAAGAGACTGCCCAAAACAGCCAGAAATATACAATTTGAAGAAGATAAAATTGATGAATGAGACCTTCTAAAGATTAAATTCCCGAGTGCATCAAAAACTTTTTTCCACAGGGTAAAAAGAGAACCTACCAACTGGGAACAAACATTTGGTAATACCATCTCAGACAAGAATCTCATAATGAAAGTTTACAAAGTACTCCTAGGCCTCCACAAGAAAAAGACTGAAACCTAACTACAAAATGGGCAAAATACATGCAAAGAATTTTCAAAGACGAAGATATTCAAATGGCCAACAGACACATGAAGAAATGCTCCAAATCACTGGCACTAGGAGAGATGCAAATCTAAATTATAATGAGAAACCATCTCACAGCAGTAACAATGGCAAAGTTTAACAGGACAGCAAGTAACAAATGTTGGAGAGGATGTAGTGAGATAGTAATTCTCATACATTGTTGTTGGGATTGTAAAATGATACAACCACTCTGGAGGGTAGTTTGGCACTTCTCAAAAAGCTGAACATAGAAATTCCATATGACCCAGCTGTTCCATTACTTGGACTATACCCTAGGAAAATCAGTATTGAGAGACTTGTACATCAATGTTCATAGCAGCATTATTCACCATCGCAAGAACATGGAAACAACCAAGATATCAAGCCACAATCAAATGGATTTAGAAATTATGGTACATTCATACAGTGGAATACTACACAGAACGCGGAAGGAAGCAATGATTTTGTAAATTATTACCTAACTTTGGAGGGACTGGAGAACATTATGCTAAGTGAACTCAGTCCCACAAGGACAAATATTGTGTAAAACAATTATTGTAGAAATAGTATGAAGATCCAAGGCAGGGGGTTGAGGGGAGGGTGGAAGCAGAGGGATGAGGATGTGGGGAAGATTAATCATGGGCTTGTACAATTTTCTGGTCTGAAAAAACAATGTATTCATCTTTTTTAAATAAACTAGAATTAAAAAAAAGAAACTCCAAATCACTAGCATAGCCTTTTTTATAAATTATTGTGAAAATATGCACAACAAAACATTTACCAATTCAGCCATTTCTATTCAGTGACACATGATTACATTCAAGTTGGACACCAATTATCACTGTTCTTTTCCAAACTATTGTGCCCTTATTAACACAAACTCAGTGTTCCCTAAACAAAAAGTTCTCTCCTAGCCCTTCCCACCCTTGGTAACCACTAGTAATCATTGATTTCTATGTATTTGCTATGCCAGGAACATGTGATTACACAGCATTTGTCTTTCTGCAACTGCCTTATTTCACTCAGCACCGTGTTTTCATGTTATATAGTGTGATTTCATTTCTCTTTATGGCTAAGTAGTATTCCAGTGTGTATACAAAGAACATTTTGTTTATTCATTCATTTATTTATCTGTTGAGCAATTTGATCCTACTTTCAAAGAACTGATAAATCAGATTGGGAATGTATTCCATTTAGAATTTTGAATGATTAAATTCCAAGTAGCTTTGACTAAAAATGCAGACAGTATGAAGAGCCGTCCTTGTTGACTGAAGAGGTCCAAGAAGACTTCTGGAGTTGATGGGCTTTGAAAAATAGATAAGACAGAAACAGACAAGAGTGGGACACTTGGCTGAGGTCTGCTAGCACAGTGGGTACCAGAGAAAGGGACTTAGACAATCTCATACGTGGAGGTAAAGTGACCGTAAGGAAAGATCGGATGACTAAGTATGGGCTCAGACATTCGAAGAGAGGGATGAGCCTGGAAACAAGACAGCACTCAGAGAGCTGTGAGACTGGTAAAGCCAATGCAGGCCCATGATGGATATTGACAATATAAGTTCATAGCATATGTCACACCACTTTGGCTACTAAATGCACTGGTTATTTGGCTCAGTTTCCAAAAATTGCACGAGTTGTGGTAAGTAGAGAATGGGGGAGATGTGCTCTTTTTTAGTAGTTTCTTGCTTTTTATTCTTCCCATGTGCTTCTCTCTCAATGTTTATGGACAGAGGACTGAGATAGGCCATAGTGGGAAGTTCAGATAAAACGCTAGAGCCAAAGACCCCCCTTCATCTATTAACTGTACATTTGAAACTATTACAAAACAGAAACCCAACCACAGCCATCGGATTAACATGGACTTGTGTTGCTGTTGTTGTTGTGTACTAGTGAGTCAGAACCAACCTATAGCTGATACTCCAATAAATTTTCAGAGGCTGTGAACTGCACAGGAGACTACCTGTCTTTCTCAATGGCAATAAATTTTAATTCTACTGATTCTATAAGACAGGGTACATAAAGGTTTAGTATAGCAGCTTGTCTACTTTGACTGGTGCTTCTTGGTGTTGCAGATGGTTAAATACTCAACAACTAACTGAAATAATGGTGATTTTAACCCATCCGGAAGTTCCTTAGGGAAGCTCTTGGGGCATAATGGATAGACAGTTGTATTATCAACCCAAAGGCGGGCAATTCAAACCCATCAGCTGCTCTTCGGAGAAACGAACAATTTTCTTTCGTGTGCCTTACAGCCTCTGAAAGGCTGTTGGAGGGTCAGCTATGAATTATTTCTGACATCACAGCGATAAGGGAATAAGTGAGAGGTTCCTTGCAAGCAAGCAAAGCCTGGCAATCTGTTTATGGAAAGTCACAATATTAAAAACCCTATGTAGCCTGAAAAGACACAGTAATAGGGGTCATAGATCAATGGTGACTAATTTATAAAACACAGTGCATAGGAATGATGGTAAGAAACACAATGCACGTGAAGGAATGTGTGAAACACAACATACATGAATGAAATGCAGTACACATTTTTGTATGCAAGCGAATATTAAACAAAAACAAAACAAAACCCTCTGGAGCAAATCTACACAAATAGACGTGTCATGACCTGTAACAACTTAATTCAGCATCTTAGACTGCTTGGCTCTGCTATTTCTTGACTTGAATCATCTTGATAGTACCTGGTTTTTCAGTCTGTTTCCATTTTTCTTGCCATATTGTCTTTCTAATTATGAAAAGAATTTTCTTTTACCATTTCTATTTCTTTTTCTTAAACTTTTCATTGTGGTTTGGGTGGAAGTTTACAAAGCAAATTGGTTTTTCATTCTATAATCTATATACATTTTGTTTCGTGGCATTGATTGCAATTCCATATTGTACCAACACTCTTTTCCACTGTCTCCCTGTTTTTTGCATTTCCACAGATCCTTTCCTATTTCTTCTTGCTTTCTGAGCTTTATTTCTGGACAAAGGCTGCCCTTTGACCTCTGGATATGGTGGATTGCTCTCAAGAATGGACACCTCTTTATTGTTACTATTCACTTTATAGGCTTGCCTTTGTTAGGCTGAAAGTCAAACCGAAGAGTACGTTGGTTGTGCTGCAATCCCAAAGTCACACAGTTCAAATCCACCAGTGGCTCTGTGGGAGAAGGATGAGAAATCTCCTCCCTTGCAACTACTGTCTCTGAAAACCCACTGGAGGATCAGCTATGGGTCAGTTCTGACTCAACAGTACATAACAAAATACTAAAAAAGAAAGACTTCTTATTTGCCCTCCTCATTAGATGGGGAACTTGTCCAACTTCTCTAAGCTTGACCCTTGGTTAGAAACCCCTCAACTTATTGTTGTTATGTACCATTGAGCCAGAGCTAATTCATCACTGACCCTCCAGCAGGTTTTCAGAGGCTGTAAATTACATGGGAGGAGACTGCCTGTCTTTCTCCCAAGGAGTACCTAGTGGACTCAAACCATGTGCCTTTGGGTTGGCAGCATAACTCCTTATCCACTATGCCACCAGAGCTCCCTGTCTAGTGAAAAGATTGTCTAAGAACCACTCTCAGTATGTCCCTGAAACAGACACAGATGCAGGTGCCACTGTTACCTGTCCATAGTTCCAAGGCCACGGGGTGATGAACTTCTCATGACCTTTGTAAACAAAGCCGTAGTCCATCATGATGTACTCCTGCAGCAGGATTTCACTTGGCATGTAGACATCATCCTCTGGGCAGGTAAGAGGGATGGGGGGATGCAAAACCCCAGACCAAAACAGAATAATAAAATTTAAAAAAATAATTACTAAGTCATCTTGCTAAAATATAGGAGAAGCAGAGAGTTGTTTGGGTAGATTGTCACAGAAATTAAGACTTAATTTAAGAAACTACTTTTCCAAACCCCCAACACAATCTCAACTTTACAATGTAATTATTAATATTTTCTTCATGATTGTAGAAGTGTAGAGGTCTGAAAATACAGATAGGTGGAAAGAAAATAGTGGCAGCAAATAATTATGCTTATTCCCTAGAGACATCACTCTTACATTTTGATGCCTTCATATTACGGTCACTTTCTATAAACATAAATTTAATATCATTAGGATCACACTGGATTCCATTTTTAAATCTATTTTACTTGCCAGATCACAATGACATGAACTTTATTCATGACAGTTATAATTATTTGTAAGGATGATTTTGGTGGGCATGTCATCTCATATGGATGATTTTGGTGGGCATGTCATCTCATATGGCTTGATTGGCAGCATTTTCTCTTGGAACCTTTCTAGAGTGTCACGGCTTTCCCAGAGGGTTGGGTTAACATTACAGTCTATGACCAAGTCTTACCTGTACTCCAAGGGTTAAACAGCAGAATGAAAGTCCCCACCAGGTGGGTCACACTGTGACCATGGTCCTGGGAGATCTGGATCTTGAGAGTGTAGGGGCCAATGACTGCACTGGCCGGTGTGAAAAGGGAGACTTGCAGGGAGTTCTGGTCAGCGATGAAGTTAGACGCACTCCAGACATTCCCATGTTGGGCCTGGGTAAGTACAAACTTGGCTCGGGTTCCCAGCAGCTCCGTGGGCTCTGGTCCTATGTAGGAGAATGATCTCCAAAATCAAAACTTTTATAGTGTGATTTCAGGGGGATGAGAAAGAACCCCATCTTCTTCCAACTTATGCTAAACCTTTTGATTTAAGGCTTTTTCTGTCACTAGAGACCCTTGGGCAAAATGCTTAAGCTCTCTGGCCCTCTGTTTTCTTGTCTGTAAAACAGGGATCATAACAGTGCCCACCTGGAAGTCTTACAATTAAAGATACAACTCATACAGAGTTTTAACACAGTACTTGGTGAATAACAAGAGATTGACTGTTATCACTAGGGAGACCCTGGGAGGAACTCATGGCTAATGTGCTCTCTTCTAACGGAAAGATTGGTGGATCAAGTCTACTTAGAGTCACCTTGGATAAAGGCCTGACAAATTACTACTGAAAAGTCATCCATCCAAAACCTACAGAGTACAGTTCTATTTTGACACATATCAGGAGTTAGAATCTAACTAATGGTCACTGGTTTGTTTTTTATTATTACCATATTGTCCCAGTTTGTTGTGGTGGCCAAACATTTCTTTAACAATACTGAGAGGGACTGATCATGGGTTCTGGGGAAGTCCTAGGAGAAGAGAGGGTAGAGCAGTTTGTAAAAAAAGGCTAGGACATGTGGATAAACTTTACTTTCATTCATTCTCATTATCATTAAGTCAGAATCAATTCATTGCTCCACTGCATTTCCAATGCTGTAAATCACACAGAAGGAGGTTGCCCATCTTTCTCTCTTAGAGCAGCTGGTGGATTTGAACCACTTGCCTTTGGGTTGGCAATGCAACTCCTTACCCACTAGGCTATGTACCCATTTTGAGGGAGCCCGCATGGCCTTAGGGCAGGCACACACTCACCTGTCTCAACCACAAAGGTGATATTGTCAGTTTGTGGCTGAAAGTTCCTGTTGAACTTCAGGATGATGGAGAAGACCTGGCCACGGCGCACAATGAGCCGCTGGTGGCCCATCTCCTGCGTGTGGTGCTCCTTGTTGTTCTTGGGGCTTTGCAGGTCAACAGAATTGAGCTTCAAGGCTGCCACTGGAGGAGGCAAGGGAGACAGGTCATATCTAGCTGGAGCTCACTGGGCTCTCAACTCCCCTGACACTTCACAAACTCTTCTCCCCAGCACTTAGCTCTCCAGCCACCTTAGCCCCTTACATCACAATTCAGACTCAGTAGACAACTCAGTAGTTCCAGCCCAGTAATGCAAGGACAACAATTCCTGTGACCTCTCCACCTGGACCAAAGCCATGTCAATCAAGTCAGAACCAATTTAAGAGCAACTACCAAATCGGTAGTAGCAATAAGACAGCCTCAGATTGCATTTGGTTTGCTCTTTGGTGTTGCACTTACAGCTGATCCACTACAACTTTCCCCTAAGAGGTCATCCAATTATCTGAGAGATTTTTAACACCCCAGGGGACATTTATGGTTTTCAAGACTTGTGGAAGGGGCTGCTCTTGTCATCTCTAGTAAATAGAGTAGCATCCTAGAGGGAAAAGCCGTGTTTGCTCTCATCCAGTTTGTGTGCCATATTAAATTATCTTCTATACTTTAATCCAGTCATTTTGGGATAATCTTCAGCAGGATCTTGCTTGCATGTGAAATCAATGATACTGTTCTATAGTTTCCACATTCCGTTGGGTCACCTTTCTTTGGAATGGGAACAAATATAGATCTCTTCCAGTCAGTTGGCCAAGTGGTTGTTCTCCAGATTTCTTGGCACAACTTGGTGAGCACGTCCAGGGCAGCATCTGTTAACTGAAATATGTCAATTGGTATACCATCTATTCCTGGGGCCTTATTTTTTGCTATTTCTTTCAAAGCAGCTTGAACTTCTTCCTTTATCACCATAGGCTCTTGCTCATATGTTGTTTCATTAAATTCTTCTGTGTCTGCCAATTCCTTTCCATATAATAACTCAGTATATTCTTTCCATCTTCTTTTGATACCTCCTGGATCATTTAATATTCTGCCTAGGAATTTGTGTTGGCGAAGAGTGCTTGAAGGTGCCATGGACTGCTAAGAGAACAAACAGATTCATCCTGGAGAGGGTTAAACTGGGCTGGTCCTTGGAGGCAAGGATTCTGAGGCTTCGTCTGACATACTTTGGTCATGTTGTAATGAGGGACCGGTCCTTGGAGACGAACATCATGCTTGGGAGGGTGGAGGGCAGGCGCAGAAGGGGAAGGCCCTCTGGGAGATGGATTGATTTGGTGACTGGGGTAATTGGGATGAGTGTGTCGGAGGCAATGAACTTGGCACAGGACAGAGCAGAGTTTAGAGCTGTTGTACATAGGGTCGCTATGAGTCACAGCGACTTAACGGCACATAACAACAACAACAATACTTTAATCCAAGTCATTATTAGTAAGATGATTCTAACCCCTAAAAGCTGAATGAGTAGGAAATGTTCTTTGTGGTCAGCTGTTCAGCTAGCTGTGACTATATTCAATTCTTTAAGATATTGGATTCATTATTTTAAAATTTCCTTTATATTCTAAAATTGAGTTCAATTTTCATGCTTGTCAAACATTTGACTAGAAGCAGAACATCTATGATGGCCTCTTGAGTCCCTTTTTTGAAAGAACCTTTCATAAAAGAAAATGAGATTCATTCTGACTTGTTCTGAATAAAATTGTTGGCCTCTAACAGTCTCAGTACTCTTACATAAGCTCCTACAACCACTGTTTAACAATCTGTCCTAGAGTTTTTGTTCATACCTGATCCAAGTTTGGCATGTGTTAGTGTCTACCTTCTAGCAACTAGTTTAGCGTTTGACTGTTAACCAAAAGGGTAACCATTGGAGGCCACCCAGAGGTGCCACAGAGTCAAGTCCTGGTGGTCTGCTCCTGGCAAATCACAGCTGTGGAAAGTCTATGGAGCAATTCTACTGTGACACGCTTGGGGTTGTCATGAGTCAGAATGAATTCAACAGCAAGTGATATGGTCGATTTTGATTTCATAGGATCTGAAAGCCACTTCCTAAACCCTGTGGGGAGCTATTTGCATCTCATGTGCTCTGAAGGGCCTGAAATTTTCAGACCAAAACCTATAGGACCTTCAGTGAAGGTCTCATCACCCTCTCTATTCACAAGCCCTTAATGGCCTTTGCACATTGTAGCCAGGCACACATGGGTCCTCACATCTGTTCTGGGCAGCCTTCCGCTGGCTGCTCATTGCTACAAGTAGAGTTCTTAAGGGCAGGCAGCTCGATTTTTCTTTCACCAGAGCTGATCCTTGACTTGAGAAAGAAGGAGGAAAAAGGAGAAGAATGTCTACCTCCCCATATTCTCTCCAGTTGCAGTGCAAGGAAAAACACTTATTCTCCATTAGAGATTCGGGTTTGGGGTTTTGCTCCACTTAATATAATTATCCAGTTGGCTCACTGAGGTGCTTTTCATGTCAGGGAGACAGTGACTTCAGAAGAGAAAAGGGAGTGTCTTCAAGAGAACAGGAAAAGAGAGCCAAGAGGATGAGGAAGAGGCTCACCAAAGCAGGAAATCAAGCAGAATCAATTAGCAAAAACATGTCAGCACGCACAAGGTCTTCTTGTCTTGGCACAGTCTCACCACAGTTAATGACTTGAATAAGAGGCCAGGTAAGCCTGACCATATGACATAATAGAAAGACAAGGCTACAAAAGGATCAAAGTCTATCCTGATGTTTAACAGCCTTGAAACAAAAGGAGGCATTAATAGTAATCTGCCTGCCATGAGTTCTAAGATGTGAAGCTCCTGTGTTGTGAGAGATCAAAGTCAAGTCAGCCCTGCTCACAGAATGGCTCCCTCTCTGTGTGCACTGGGGTCTCAGCTCAGAGGTCACCATCAAGTTTATCACCCCCAACTCCACCCTGTAATCACTAGACACCACAACCAAAAACTCACTGCCATAAAGTCACTTTCTACACCTGGTGATCCTGTGTGTGTGAAAGCAGAACTATGTTTCATGGGGTCTTCAATGACAGATATTTTTTTCATATATATATCTCAAGGATGCTTTCGGCAGAATGTTAAATGATCCAGGAAGTATTAAAAGAAGATGGAAGGAATATACTGAGTCACTGTATCGAAAGGAATTGGAAGACACAGAAGAATTTCATGAAACAACATATGAGCAAGAGCCTATGGTGATGAAAGAAGAAGTTCAGGCTGCTTTGAAGGAAATAGCAAAAAATAAGGCTCCAGGAATAGATGGTATATATATATATATATATATATATATATATATATATATCTTCCATCTTCCCACGCACCTTTAAGTGGACTTGAATCTTCAGTCTTTAATTTAATATCCAAGCATCTTAACCATCTTAACCCTTCTCACTTTTTGCAGCACATTTAATACAACCTAAAATTAACTCCATTGCAAGCAGAAACCTTGGTTGCCTTTTCCTAGTTTGGCCACCACTGCCTCCAGAGCCTGCCTAGAAAAAAACATCGAGGTTCTCAACTACAAGTAAAGTCTGTCCAATTCTTATTGCAATGCTAGGTTTGTATTCTCTCCATACTTATTCAATCTCTATGCTGAGCCAATTATCCAGAGTCTGGACTCTATGAAGAGGAATGTAGCATCAGGATTGGAGGGAGACTCATCAATAACTTGCATTATGCAGATGATACAACTTTACTTGCTAAAAGTGAGGTGGACTTGGAGCACTTGTTTCAAGAGATCAAGGAATGCAGCCTTCAGTCTAGATTGCATTTCAATGTCAGGAAAACAAAGATTCTTACCACTAGACCAATAGGTAGTATCATGATGGATGGAGAGGAGATTGAAACTGTCAACAACTTCAACTTTTTTGGATACACAATTAAAACCCTTGGTACCAGCAGTCAGAAAAAGGAGATGCATCACTGTGGGAAAATTTGCAGGTAGGGACTTTTCAAAATTATTGAGTAGTGCTGTCAGTTTGAAAACAAATGTGCGCCTGATTCAGGCCATAGTCTTTCTAATTTCTAGCTGGACGATGAATAAGGATAGCACAAAAAGAATTTGCCTTTGAGCTGTGGTGTTGGAGAAGAGCATTGAACCTCTCATGGACTGCCAAGAGAACAGATATGTCTTGGAGAGGGTGCAGCCAGAGTGCTCTTTGGAGGCAAGAACGATAAGGGTCCAGGTCACATATCTCAGGCATGTTTTAGGAGGTACTATTCCTTGGAGAAGGATATGATGTTAGGAAGGGTGGATGGTCGGCGAAGGAGAGGAAGACCCTCAGCCGTGTGGATTGACAAGGTGACTGCTGCAAAGGGCTCTTGTGTGTCAGGAAGTGTGAGGATGGTGCAAGCTAGAACAGGGTTCAGATCTTTTGTTCACAGGGTTGCTATGAATCATGCTCAACTTAAAGGCACCTAACAACAACAACATTATCACCCTGATATAAATGGATCATATTGTTTCTGAGGTACAAGAAAGGTAGAGGCAGAAGTAGGATTCAAATCCTGGGAGGATGGTCCCAGTGCCTGCCAGCTGTAAGTTTCACAATGACCTGCCTTCTCTGGCAGGTGGTCAATAATGATTATTGAATGAATATAGTATAAGGAGAGTAATTTGTCAGGAGGGTGGTAGAGAAGGAAAGAGGAGTGTGAGGATAGCAGGGACTAGGGTGAGGAGCAATGTATAGAGGCCAATATGATGTCTTTTGATTCAGTTGGTATGCATCATAGAGTCTGTACCAACTCATAGCTGACCTGCCAGCAGGTTTTCAGAGGCTATAAATCACATAAAAAGAGATTGCTCATCTTTTTCCCTCAAAGCAGCTGGTGGATTTGAACTGTCTGCCTTGAGCTGGCAGCACGAGTCCTTAACCACTAGGCCACTAGAACTCTCTTTTGATTCTAAATAGTAATGAGTCTATCCCTGATGGAAAATAAAATATTACTCCTTTATGAAGGCAACGGATAAATATTACAAAATAAAAGTTTTAAAACATAAATTATTCCAAGAACAATCATCACTACTATATAAAAATATAAGCATGAGGAATGATATTCAAACCAGCCCAGATACTCTGCAAGAGTTATTAAATATGCAAATTTCATACTTCTCATCTCAGGCAATCAACAACAAAACAGAACAAAAAGACAAAAGCACGGGAGAAATTTTTAATGAGATAGTTCAAAGTAATAATAAACAAAGACTTGGAAACAGCGTGTTACAGATAGGTTATGTTTGTTGTTGTTGTTGTTGTTGTTGTTGTTAGGTGCCATTGAGTTGAGTATGACTCATAGCAACCCTATGAGCAACAAATTTGAATTCTGTCCGATCCTGTGCCATTCTCACAATCTCTGATATACTTGAGCCCATTGTTACAGTCTCCAGCTCAATCCAGCTTGCCAGAGGTCTTCCTCTTTTTCTCTGACGCTCCACCCTTCTAAGTACGATATCCTTCTCAAAGGAATAGTCTCTCCTAGCAACATGTCTAAAGTATGAGAGGGAGCTCTGGTGGCCTAGTGGTAAGAAGCTGCATAGCAATCCCAAAAGAATGTGGTTCAAATCCACCAGCTGCTCTATGGAGGAAAGGTGGGCAATCTATTCCCATGGGATTTACTGCCTATGAAAACCCACTGGGAGGGTCAGCTATGAGTCAGTTCCAACTCAACAGCACATAACAACAAGGTTATCTTAGGTGGTAAAATTATGGACAAATTCCCTTCCCTGCTTTGGTTTTAATCATATATTCCTTTTTTTTTTGGTTTGTTTTAAATTTGGTGAAAGGTACTGAAGACCTCGGCAGGTTTTTGAGCAAGTGGTATAATGATCAAAGCTTTATCTGATGATTTATCCGGCAGTGGTATATAGTTCAGACCAGAGCAGGAAAAGACATGGGTGGGTGAAATGGTAGTGAGAACTCCAATGCAATAATCTAGACAAAAGGTTAATGAGACCTAAATAAAAGTGTTGGCAAGAGGAAAGAGGGACCACGCTACTGATGGAAGGGGCTGTGCATTGGCCTGTCACATGCAGCCTAACAAACATTTGTTGAAATGAATGTCAGGAGTTCCCAAGGTTCCTGCTAGTTTGGATGAAGACCTCCTGGGGCAAAGTGAAGGAATCTACTGCAAAACACAACATCCTAGGCAGACAGGTTAGAGGTGAATGACTATAAAGCTCTAGGCAGAGACAGCAAAGGGTTGGCAATACTCAGCACAGCAAGTCGAAAAAGTTGGCATTTGCCATCAGATGCCAAGGGATGCAGCTCCTTCGCTCAGGTTTCCTCCCTCCTCATCCCTGCATTCATCCCAGCCTCTAGGTCATTACATTTCCCTTTCCACTTCTCATTATTATTGTCCATCTAGGACTTTTTCAGAAATACTTTTTTCTTTTGGATTCTGAAGCTTTGTCTGACATACTCTAGGCATGCTGCAAGGAGGGACCTTGGAGAGGGTCCTTGGAGAGGGACATCATGTTTGGGAGAGTAGAGGGACAGCACAGGAGGGGAAGACCCTCGATAAGACAGATTGATACTGTGATTGGGGTGGTGGGAGTAAGTGTGTCAGAGACAGTGAGGTTGGTACAGGATAGAGAAGAGTTTAGGGCTCTTGTACATATGGTTGCTATGAGTTGCAAATGACTCGGCAGCACATAACAACAATGTTGTTGTTCTATGCCATTGAGTCAAGTAGGATGACCCTATAAACAGCCAACCTGAAACTTGTCCTATCCTGTGCTATTTTCATCATCTCAAAGACACTGGGGCCACTGCTGAAGTCATATTTGACAATCTATCTCATTGAGGGGTCGTCTTCTTCTCTTTCACCGACCTTTCATCTTCCCAAGCATGATGTCCCTTTCTGAGGAATAGCCTCACTTAGCTAAGTGTCTTAGAGAGGGTGAAACCAAGTTGTTCCTTGGAGGCTAGGATTTTAAAGCTCCATCTCACATATTTTGGGCATGTGACCTGGAAGGACCAGTCCTTGGAGAAGGACCTCTTGCTCAGAAGGATGGAGGGACAGCACTGGAGAGGAAGACCCAGGATGAGATGACTGATACAGTAATTGGAGCAGTGAGAGTAGGTGTGTTGGAGGCAATGAGACTGGCTCAGAATAGGGCAGGGTTCAGAGTTGCTGTACTATGCTGTCACTATGAGTCACAGACAACTCAATGGCACATAACAACAACAACAAGAATAACAAAATTACATGTCACAAGCATGAAAGACAAGGCTTTGTCATCATTGC